CTCTGGAGCTCACAGTCCAGTAGGGCAGGTGGCATGCAAACAATTTATCTACATACAAGATACATACAGTATAAATGGGAAGTGATTGCTGATTGAATGAAAAAACTTTGTACTTACAGAGTATGCCATATTACCCTATATGCTTTAGTTTCTTAGGAAACTTCCACTTGGCTAAAATCACTTTCTCTATCTCATCTTTAGCTGGAGAATGGAGAGGCTGAATTAGCTTAATCAATTAGTCAACAAATACCTATAGTGCAAAAGTGATTTGGCTATGAGCCAGGTCCTAAGCTAGGCACTGGGGAAACAGACAAATTGAAACAATCCTTGTTCTCAAGAGGTTTATATTCAATCAAGGAAAACAACACCCACACATGTAACTGTATTCAAAGTAAATACAATAATTTCAAGGAAGGAAGAGGCAGTGGCAACTTGGGTGGTGGAGATGGAATCCAGGAATGGGCTGATGTGTATAGATGACTGTGAACTTATTTTTTTTTTTTTGAGGGGGGAGGTGCCTTTTTTCCCCCTATCTCCAGCACTTAGCACAGTGCCTGGCCCATAGCAGGCACTTAATAAATGTTTATTGACTGATTGAGCTTTGAAGAGTCAACACTTGAGTTGATAGAAAACCTTAGAGTGCCAGAATCAATGTCTTAACTACATTTTGCATTTCCAGCACCTGGACAGTGTTTTGTACACGTTACAGGCAGAGAAGATAGTCATTACAAAGGCAAAGGTGTGGAGAGAGAAAAGGACAGCAATTAGGTCAGTATGGTTATGATAAGGTCTAGAGGTTTAGGGGTGCTGGGACCCCGAGATCATGACATGTGGGTCCTGCCTGAAAGAATTTGACCCAAGCCTTCTTTCAACCAAAGACAAGGTTTATTAGAACATCCATCATATCGGGCAGACCCTTAAGGAGTCTGAACATTATGGAGCTATTGGCTGGATTGTAAGAATCTGAGCAACTTAATGGAGACAAGATGGACCTTATAAAGAGTAAGATGTGGGAGGGATCTAGGAAGGATCTTGATGGGAGTGACTGGGAGGTTGAGAATGGGCCGTAGGGGATAACAAAAGGCCAATTTTGTTGGGGACTGTAGCCTCAGGGGAAAGCCAGAGACCTCCTTGATCTAGTGGGAGAATTCAAGGAGAATGAATCCCTTAGACAAATGGGACAAATTCTTTTTGGGGTAAGGGGCAAAGGTCTCGGCTTGGACAATACCCCATCAGTTACATCATAGAGTGTATAGAAGAGAGTAATGTATACAAAGATTAGAAAGATAGGAAATGAAGTGATTTAAATGCTAAATAGAAAAACTTATATTATAGGTAATATAAAATGTTATATATTAATAAAATATAATAAAATTTATAGGTAATAATACAATATAATAATAATATAATTTAATTACAGGAAATAGGGGGCCACTGGAGTTAGCAATGCAGGAGAGTGACATGATCAGACTAAATAAATGTTTGTCTAATTGAATTAAATTCCTCTTACTCAAAATCTGCAATTAGATTAAATAGGAGTCTGTAGACTTTACAAAAGTTGTCAATGTGATCCAAACTGCACTGTGGTGACTTTTTTTTTACAGTTTTCACCTGGAGGAGAAATAACATTTTTCTATTTTACCTGTTAGCAAAACAGCCACACCCACTGTTGATCTCTAAACTCTCATTTAGGGCTAGGGACCAGACCAGTGATTTCAGTCTTATTGGGAGCTCCCAAATAAGGGGACTCCCTGTACCAATGTAGTTCAGCTTTCTCTGAGAGAGTTGCCAAGGGCATAAAAAGGGGGTAAAGGTGACTTTTTCAGGGTCACATAGTCAGTACAGCCAGCACCTCCTCTCCCTTCAGGCAAAACTTGAAATGGTCTGCCAGACTCTCCCAGGTCAACCTCTTACTAGTACAAGTAGCCTTCACTTATCTCATTTAACCTTGTGATCTAAGTATAATATATATTTATGGGAAACTTCATCTGATGGAATTTAAATTCCTGCAGGGTAGGGCTCTATTTGTTTTCCTTTGTACTGTAAGCCCTAAGCATTTAACACAAAATGCTGGTCAATTGATGTAAATTATTCTAGTTCTGCTTATTTCATTCTGCATCAGTTAACATGTATCTTCGAGGTTTCTCTGAATCTTTCATGTTCTTCATTTCCTACTATGCAATAATATTCTATTACATTTATATTCTATAGTTCATTTAGCCATTACCCAAACAATGAACATCCAGTCTATTCTTTCTTTGCTACCACAAAAAGTGCTTCTATGACTATATTGCAATGCATTGAATGTTTCTTTGTCTTTGACCTTCTTCGGTTATGCTCCTGTAGTGGGATTGCTGGATCAAAGGGTAAGAACGATTTAGTTACTTATCTTGATAACTTTAAATTGCAAATATCTGGGCCAATTTATAGCTCTGCCCATAGTGCTTGAGTGTGCCTGCCTTTCCACAGTTCCTCCAACACTATTTCCTTTTATAAGGCAGGTCTTAGAGTCAGGATGGCCAGCCTCTTAATAGTTGTGTGACTCTGGACATGCCTTCACCTGTTTCCTCATTTGTAAAATTGGTGCTAAAAAAAGAATCAGCATCTATTTCATAGTAAGTGAAGTCTCATCCACAATATGAATACAGACCTCAGAAGATTCTGGTGAACTCAACCAATCAACTATACTGGACCTGGAGAGCAATCACAAATTGCCCAGACATAATATTATGAGGAACAAATGAGTTAACATGTGCAAAGCCCTTTAGGGTGCAAACATTTAGCACCTACTATGTACCTAACACATGATGACCTGGTGGCTAGAATTATGCATGGGAAGCTCACTACCTCTCATGGACTGAAAGATGCAGATTTCAAAAAATTCTGAACTCAAACCAATCAACTGGATCAGAATTGAAGCATTATCATACACTGAATTGCCTAGACATGACACTGATGTATGACAATTCAAGTGCAATTTTAAAAATAAATTTTCATTAGTATCTTTTTGTTGCCAAAATTTCTTCCAGTATTTTCCCCCTCTCCATTCCAGTAGAGCCAGCTTAATAAAGACTATTTTAAGGGAAAGGAAAAAGAGGAAGAGAGAAATAATCGGCAAAATTAACCAATACTTTGAAAAAGTCTGAAAATATGTGTAATGTTCCACACCCATTTCCCTCCTACTTCTGCAAAGGAGGGACGTCTCCATTAGTGGTTATAAAAATATTCCCAATGTTGATTTGAAAGCAAATGACGCAAAATATATTTTTTAGGGAAATGGGTGATCAGAAGTGGGCATGTGAGAATGAGGAATGAAAGATGGACAGACTGATTGTTACAGGACAACCCAAGTAATGTCAAAAAACATCCAAAAGGGCCCGCTGTGGAGGGTGTGGGGAAGGATGAGTCACATAGATTGAAAGATGGACTGCTTGTCATCTGCACCACTGGGAGGTCTTACCTACCCCATCTTGAGCGTCAGCCTCGTCTCATCCACTGTACATGTCTTTTCAGTTGTGTCTGACTCTTCATGACCCCATTTCAGGTTTTCTTGGCAGAAATAATAGAGTGGTTTGCCATCTCCTTCTCCAGCTCATCTTACAGATGAGGAAACTGAGGCAAACAGGGTTAAGTGACTTGCCCAGGGTCACACAACTGTCTGAGACTGAATTTGAACTCAGGAAGACGTGTCTTGCTAGTTCCAAGTCCAGTGATGTATCTGTTGTGATACCTGGCTACCCACCAATGGACAAGCATTTGTAAAGCACCTACTATGTGCCAGGCAGTGCTAGGTGCTGGGATTATTGTTGTTTAAATGTTGATTAGGTGGATGTCTATAGTGTTTTTTGGATATTTCATACAATTTTCACAACCACCATATGGGGAGGAAGGTATTACAGTTACATAGTGGCTGAGGGATGAGAGTGAGTAAACGTTGGTCATATCCCACATCAGATCTCTCCTGTTCCATAAATCTGTTGTTTTGTCTCCCAGAAGACCCATGGGGAACAAGAAAGGAAGCTCTGACAACTGAGTATTTCAGTGGTATCATTCCTGGCATGAAGAACACAAGAGTTCATGGCCACCTAGAAAGGGGAAAGTATCAAAGAGAAGCAGGGGATGTACAGTACCTGGAATATTGTATGCACTTAATAAAGGTTGATGACTAATATTGATAGACTTGACCCTTCTCAGCAAATCAAGGATCTAAGACATTTCCAAAGACCTCACGATGGAAAATGCTATGCACATCCAAAGAGTTTGAATGCAGATCGAAGCATACTATTTGCTATTTTTTTCTTCTGTTGTGTTTTGTTTCTTCTTTCTCATGGCTCCTCCTATTAGTTCTAAGTCTTATCTATAACATCACTAATGTGAAAATGTTTACCAGGAATGTGTATGTATAGCTTATATCAGATTGTGCGCCATCTTAAGTAGGGAGGTGGGGAGGGAGAAAAATTTAAAACTCAAAAGCATATGGAAGTGATTGTTGATAATTCAAAACAAATTAATAAAAAAAATTCTCATTCCCCCCCCCCCCAAAAAACAAAAACACAAGAGTGAGCAAAAGTACCAGGAGAGAAACACGGGACCCAAGGTGGAAGGACTGGGGTGGCTCAAGAGAGGATGCTGATTCTCTGAGAATAGAGGAGAAGCAGGCAGGGAAGTCACATGGCTAATTGCCTGCCACCTGGCCCAGCCAATCTCTCCATGACTCCCCTTAGCTGTGGCCTGAAGTAGAAGTTTGCCTGATCCTTTCAATGATGCCAGGCCCGCCACCAAGAGCAATTTGGCAAGGCGCCTGGTTCCTTACTGCCTCTGTGTCAGCTCTCAGGAACGGGGCAGAGATGGGAGTCTTGTAGTCGGTTCATGCCACATGGTACCCAACCCAGATCCCACTGGGAATAATCTCAGATCTCAGTGGAAGGAAACACCCCCCGCCCCCCAAAAAGAAAGAAAACACGATGATTTACTTAAAAACCAAACCAAACGAAAACAACCCCAGTGAATGTTTTATTTGTCAATATGGAGTATGTAGCAAAGTAACAAATATTTCTGCATTGAAACACTGTTTTCCTCCCCAGCTTTTTCCCTTTGTGAAATTCATAGGGACAGTACACATCTTTGGGGTCCTGGCTTGGGGCCAGGCGGTCTACAGCCCCGCCCAGCCTCCACATACCAGCCATTTATTTCACCATGACCTGCATGATGAGAGTGGCGCATCTGGCCCACATCTCCCCGCTCATTTCCTTCCCCCTCGCGAGACCCTCAGCATGGATGAGGAGTCCTGCTGATGGGTTGGGGGAGGGATGCAGAGGGAGTGGAGCAGGAACAGCAGCTTTATTTATGAAGGATGGCAACTTCTGACACCTCCCAAGTGTCCAGGAGTAAGAGACAGAGCACAAGGACTGGGGAAAGATGGCAAACAATTCACAGTTTTCATATCAGAGAAAGTGCAATGTAGAATGGCTCTGGCCCTTCTGGGGGTGCCTGGACCCCAGGGCACAGGGGTGTGGAGTGGGGTGGGGGGCAGGGGTCCAAAGGGATACATACAGGTTCCTCTCCTCCTTGGCTAAGGAAGGGTGAATTTAGGGTCCTAAAGACCTCTGGGCTTGCTTTGGAAACAGTATAGATCGATTATAAATTCTGGAACCAAAAGGGTTCCCATTTGGTAGATGAGGAAACTGATACTCAGGGAGGGCCATGGCCTAAGCCTAAAGTTACACAGCTAACCAGTCAGTGGCAAAGTGGGGCCAGGGAACTCAAGATTTCCCAACTACCCCCAATCCAACACTTTTACTGTGCTGTCAACTTTATTCCCCAAACCCGTCCTTTTAGTAAACACAAGGGCAGGGGAGGGAAGGGGGGAGGCAGGAGGTCAAGGTGCTGATTTTGGCAGAGCCTGGCTGCTCTGGGTAGAACATATCCTATTAAAAGTCCAGTTTCCTTAGGCACGGGTCAAGTAGGGATGGATGAAGCCAATCCTGAAGGAGACTTTCTTCACATCCCTCCCCGTCCAGGTCTCAGGGAAAAAAAGGAAAGAGCATCCACTCCCTCCCTCCTCTCAAATAAGCAAATTTCCCCATCAATCTTCTTCCTATTCCCCCCCTCCTGCCTTGATCTCTTCTGGGGATCCCCACTGCCAGCAGTGGGGGAAGGGAAACAAGGTAGGGGGAAGGGGAATCATGAAAACAGATCCAGGGACCCACGTATAATCCCTCTGACTGCCCAAGTTTCTTAGGGTAACAGGGCTAGAAGAATAGGCTTAGGGGGCAGGGGCCTTGGCAGTGCCCCTGCTCCCCCAATGCCATGGAGTGTCAGCCCAGTTTCGAGCAGGTGCTACCCCAGGTTGTGATGTTTCCTCTTCATCCAGGAGCCCTAGTCCATTGAACCCAGTACACACCTTCCCGTGGCAGGTAAGAGAGGCAGGGCCAAAGTGGGGGTGGGCTCTCTCAGGAAGCTGCGGCTTAGAAAAGTCCTCTTTGTAGTGACTTCTTCTCCTTGACCTTGGTGATGGAGGAAGTCATGTGTTTCCAAGGTGGAGGGAGGGAAGAAAGGATGAGAACATGGCCTGGATGGTCCCAGAGCAGACAGAGAGGTCCTTTTGGTTCCACTGGGGTGGGGGAAAGGGATGGAGAAGAGTAGGGGGGCCCAGAGGCACTTGATTTCCAAGGTTTCACAGACAAGACCAGATTGCAGCCAGTGGGACAGAGAGGGAATGTGATACGGGCAGAGACCAATAGTCTGTAGGTTAGAAAGGAAGCGGGCCCCCCAGCAAAAGTAGCGTCCAGTCCGGAGCTGGGAGGGCCATGACGCCCACCATCAGGTCATGTAGCGAGTAATGGCGCGGAGGGCGTAGAGGAGGGCTGCTTGCATCCGGGCCTCTAGCAGTAGCAGATTCACATGGACCTGGAAAAGGGAGGGAGGAAGGGGTGCAGAGAGGACCCTGATGGTAGAGCTGACACACTTTCACCTTCCCATTTTTCCAGGACTCACTTGTCACTGGTCTAACCTCCCCACCCTATCTTGTTCCCAAGTCAGTGAACCTGACCAAAGATGTCCTAGAAACTCCACATCTCAAAAGCTTAGCCCCTGTAAATAGAGGCGTCTCAGCCTCATTCCCTACTTTTGTTTCTGAGATGCCTCCCACTTCCCCTCCTCCAGACCTGTAAGATATTCAGACTGGACAGACCCTCTGAAAGAAGGCCAGAGCTGGTCCACACCCACAGAAAGAACGATGGAGTCTGAATGCAGATGGAAGCATACTATTTGCTCTCCTTTTCCTTTGTTGCTTTGTTTTATTGCTTCATTCTCATGGTTCCCATTAGTTCTAATTGTTCTTTACATCATGACTTAGGGGAAAATATGCTTAATATGAATGTACATGTAGAGCCTATATCAGATTGTACACTGCCTTGGGCATGAGGAATATAAATGGGAGGGGGAGAAAATTTAAAACTCAAAATCTTATGGAAGTGAATGTTGAAAACTAAAAATAAATAAGTTATCAAACAAAAAAGAAAAATGCTATCCACCTTCAGAGAAAGAACTGATGGAGTCAGCATACTATTTTTTACCTATTTTTCATGCCTTTTTTGTCTGTCTTCTTTCACAACATGACTAATATGGAAATGTTTTGCACGACTGCACATGTATAATCTATATCAAACTGCTTCTTGTCTTAGGGAGTGGGCAGGGGGGAAAGGAGAGAGTATTTGGAACTCAAAATTTTAAAAAAATATTAAAAATTAATCTTTACATGTAATTGGGAAAAAAATTAAACATTATCTAAAGAAAAAAAAAAAGGTCAGAACTGGGAGGGCCTTCCTTAGAACACAGAAGGCTAGGGATAGCAGGGGCCTTAGACTATATTTTTAGTGGTGCAAAGGAGCTTAGAACAGAGAATGTCAGAGTTCAGAAAAAAAACTTAAGAGATTATCGAGTCCAATCTTTCATTCTAAAGACGAGGGAACAGAGGCACAGAAAGGCTGGTCACATACTAAGTCAGTAGTGGAGCTGGGACACTAAGCTCAGGGCCTCCCAATCTTTCATTTCACAAACTACACCCCATCCTTGCCTGTGCCAGACAAGCTAACTCCAAGGCTCCCTGCTTTCCCTCAAGTGCCAGTGCCTGAGCCCCTCTGCCAGGCTCCCGGTGGGTACTGCCTCCAGCAGGAAGGCCCCTTACCTTCTCAGAATGCCGGAAGTGCCTCCAAAAGTGACTGTACATCCTCTTGGTTGTCTTCTCTGGATAACAGGCGACAGTTTTGATATAGACCTTGAGGCTCCTCTCCAAGAGCTGGTTCACCTCCCCATAATCATAGTCATCATACCTAAAGAGGATACCCCCAAATGGCATCAGTCATCTGCTCCCAGAGCAGCCTCTCCCACAATGAGCTCCCCTCCTCAACTCCACACACTTTTAAGATATCCACAAAAGGAAAGTACCCAAGAACCTGGGTCAGAAGCCTGCTGCCTGCCGCCTGCCTCCTCACCCTGGGGAAGGTGAGCGAGGTGAGAAGGAGACAAGTCCATTCCTCCAACCTTCCTAAGCAGTCACCAAGAGGAGGGCTCTCAGACCACTGGGTCTAGCCTGAACCCACTAGAGCTGTGGTGTCAAACTCCATTTCTGTTAAGAGTTTCACTGTATCAGAGAACCCTCCAAGGAGATGGCAGAAGTGACTCCAGGCTTGTTTAGTGGAGACGGGAGGAGTGCACGGAGGGCAGTTGATGCCCTATGCTGGAAGAGATGGAATGAGACCCTTCCAAGACCAGGGAAAGAAAGGTGGGGATAGAACCAGAGAGGTCTGGCATTCTCTCTCCTTTCCTCTCCCGAAAGGAGACAAAAAGGTCCCAGATAAACAGTTTAGGAGTTTTAGGGGATGGTTCACTGCACAGAAGCCTTCCTGCGGGCAGGGTACATGCCTATCCCCTCTTTTGGAGCAAACCTTCCCTCCCACTCAGGACACCACAGAAGTAGTAAATGATCAACAAAGCCTTGTTGACTGCCCTTGGATCAGTGGCTGGTGGCTACTTCTCACCTGATGCCAAAGACACAATGGATGTAGTTCCAGATGGCCCTGCGGAGCATAGAAGTGTCCACACCGCTGTGCATGGCAATGGTATTGTAGGTGAGGGTGTACACCACCTGGAACTTCTCATCCAGTAGCTGCCCTCCCTCTGGGTAGAGTCGCTGAATCAGGGAGTAGCCATGGTCTTCCCAGGTGTAGTCCTGAGGAGCAGAGGGGAGGAGGACGGAGGAGGGCCTGGTGAGCACTGGGAGAGGGGGGACCAGGAGCAGTCCAGCCACAATTCTTCTTGGCTCCCAATGCCCACTCCCCTAAAGTCAATTTTTATCTAGTTAAAAGGAATTCTGGCTCTAACTTCTTCCATTACTATCAGCCTTCTAGGGGCCTCCTCACCAACTTCCAGTGACCATTGTCTTCAGTGTTCTAATCCCGCCCCTGCCACAGCCAATCCCACTGAATTTGGAGGGATCTCTCCAAGGTAAGGGAGGGAGGGCTACCTGGGCTCGGAAGGTTGGAGGGGTCTGGGTGCCTCGCCGCGTAAAGTCCTCATACCCAAAAGTGGGATCTTCCACAAAGCACAAGACATCAGGGGATGGAGTAAGTTCTAGGATGTCACCTGCGGGCCAAGCCGGAGGAAGGTAAGAGCAGAAGTAGTACGGGGGCACCTGGTCCCCAGCCCTCCTGCTATGTAGTGAGACGAAGGTTGGGAGTCATGATGAAAAGCAACCACAGGCGCTGCTATCAACACCCCCAACTACCCCAGATCCAGCATGAAATGTCAGACCCCTCCACCAAGGTGCCTTTCCTTGATCCCAACAGCCAGGAAGTATCTCTCCCTCCACTGATTTCCATACCCTTTAATCTCATTTTTCTCAACTATGTCCTCCTCTACCAATCTGGAAAGGGCCTCAAATCAGGGACAAGATACCGTGTGTACCCTCAGAATGGTTGCTGAGCCAAGCTTGGAGAAACTCCCCAGTGGAGTTTTTTCCCCACAGCTGCAAATCAATGAGGCTTACTATGGCATTGGTGGTGGTGGTGGTGGTAGGGGAAATGCTGTAACTGGCATGAGTGAAGGGCAAGTCCTCACAGAGCAAGGCACTAATCTTTGCTATACTGACACACATTAAGATAACTTTGTTCTCATTTGAATTGATGTTGGTTTAAGTTTCTGATCTCACCGCCCCCCCACCCCCACCCCCAGACTGTAGGCCTAGGGACTGAAACCCTCTCCACCCTACTGCAACACCACAAGTCCTTGCTTGAAGTTGTCCAACATACTTGCCCCCTTTCTCTAACTAGAATTAGCTTCCCTAACTCTAGGATTCTAGGATTCCTTATGAGATGTTGGGAAGGACAGGCTGCTTGCAGAGCATGGGAAACATTGTCATGTTCTTCTGCCCAGTTTGACCAAGAGGGTGCCAGTAGACGGCTGTTATACTGTCCACAGACAAAACCACCGACTACGATTTCCAGATGTAAAGGACCCTGAGAAATGCATATTTCCATATCTATCAATTTATATTTTGGGGGTGAATTAGTCTCTTCCCAAGGAGTGGTCAGTCCCTCCCACGCCCCAGTGGCTTTACTTGTGGGGGCCACCAGCAGGCTCTCAGACTTCTCCAGCTCAAAGCGGCTCTCCATCTCCTCTTGGGAGGCAGCCTCTTCTTGTAGCTGGCATTCCTGCAGGATCTTCATCCGCTCCATCAAGGCCTCAACTTCCCGAACAGCATCAAAGCCCTGGGTGTGGAGGAGAGACTTAATGGTTAACTCCTCCTGCCATTCAGCCAAAAAGTAGTCCCAGCAAAAGCTTCCCAATCCAGGCTGGGCTCACCATGCCTCCCCTCCCTCTGGTCCCAGGCCCCAAGGCCAGCTCTACCCCAGGTCCCCAATCTTGTTACTTACCCCAGAACTGCCAAGGGGGTCTCCGTTGGGAGGACTGCTCTGCCCACTGGATGGTAAGGGAACCTGGAGGGCAGGGTTGCCCTCTGGATCCCCCTCAGGGAGGATGCCACAGCCAAAAACAAAAGATGCCAGGGAGTGATAATGGGTGAGCAAGACTACTGCCTGGATGAGCTCAGCCAGGGACCAGCTGTGCTCGCCAGTGGTCAGAAGAGCCTGGAAGACAATCCCCCAAATTCCCTGCTTATTACACCTGTCGAGAGTATGGTCTCTTCACAAATCTATGAGCTGATTTGTTCCCCTTAGCTTAACTCCGCATATTACCCACTGGGGGGTCTGAGGCCAAGGACCCAGAAAGATGGAAGACAAAGCTGACCCGCAGGGTAGGTGACCTTTTGTGCAAATTAACAAAGGGCAACAATGACACTCCCTCTAGCTGGGGCCCCAACCTACCTGGCATTGACCACAGCCTTATCTTTTCTCCCCCATTCCTTGACATAGTTTCCTCCCACCTAATCTGTTAATTCGTCCTGCACAGGGTATCCACCATGGAATAAGTCTATTAGGGACCTTAGAACAGAAACTATTAGAACTTGAAGAGATTTCATAATGCAGAATGTTAGAAGCAATGATGCAAGAATTGGAAATATTCTTAAGATACCATCTGGCCCAACTCTTATTTCACACAGGGCAGCTAAGAGGTCCAGTAAAAAGAGTGCTAGACTTGGAGACAGGAAGGACCAGAGTTCAGATCAATCCTGCCTCAGATACTCCCTAAGCTGTGTGAATCTGGGAAAGTCACTTCACCTCCCAGCCTCAGTTTCCTCATCTGTAAAAAGGGGACAATAGTAGTACCTCCCTTAGAAAGTTGTTTCAAGGCTCAAATGGAAGAGAACACAGGTAAAGCACTTTACCTATCTTAAATCTCTGCATAAATGTTAGGTATTATACTTGTTATTATGAGGTACCCCCCTTACCTCAATGTGCTCCTTGGTGACGAGCCAAGGTCGATGGGCCAGCAGCTTGTTGATCTCGTTGAGGTTGCGGAGTTTCTGGGGGACCCGGTGGATACCAAGGAGCCACTCAGGGTCTCCGCCCACCTGCAGGAACTCAGTCATGTGGAAGCTGATCAGGTAGGAGCATTGATGCCGAGCGGAGGCCTGAAGGAGGGTGGCAGGGAGACAGAGGTTAGGGGCTGGGGAGAGGCCGGGGCCTCCCAGGCTTCTCCCTCTTGTTTGGCCATTCCTGTGGGTTTTGTAATGAGGGTAGGGTGAACGAGGAGGCTGATGCAGGGTACCCGCTGGACAGACACGGCCCAGGTCAGCAGAACCAGACTAGAATGGTCCAAAGGGACAGGGAGGGGGAGATTCAAGGTCGGACTGGTCCTCAGTGTCCAGAGCCTTCACTTGGACTCTCTACTCCCCCTTCCAGAGGCTTCCTTGGAATCCCACTCATTCTGCCTTCCCTCTGAACTGCCCCACCCCCAATTTATCGCGTTTGCGTCTAACTGTTGGTTTATGGTCTCCCTCTTAGATTGTGAACTCCTGGAGAGAAGAGGCTGCTTGTTCTTCTCCTGTCTTTATATCCCTAGAACTTGGCACAGTACCTAGCACATAACAGGTGCTTAATAAATACCTCCTAGTCATCTTCTCGCCATCTGCCCTGCTGCCTCAGCCCATGTGTACCATGTGCCCACGCACCAGGTACATTAATGAAATCAGTATTAAATGCCATAAATTCTGGAAAGGACGTAGTAATCAACATCCTTAAGCTCCTTTCACAATTCTGTGGACTGCCTCCACCAAAATACTTTCTCTGGCCACCACGCCTCTATAAGTATTATCTCCTCCATTAGAATTGTGGCAGCTATATGGCGCAGTGGAGAGAGTGCCAGGCCTGGAGTCAGGAAGACCTGAGTTCAAATCCAGCTTCAGACACTTAGCAGCTGGGTGATCCTGGGTAAGTCACTTAACCCTGTTTGCCTCAGTTTCCTCTTCTGTAAAATGAGCTAGAGAAGGAAAGGGCAAACCACTCCAGTATCTTTCCCAAGAAAAACCCCACGAGATCGTGAGAGTGGACGTGACTGAACAACAAAAAATTAGAATGGAAATTTTTGGTGGGTAGGGACTGTCTCACTTTTGTATTTCTGCAGACAACTTACTTTTCACGAATTCCTCTCCACCCCTCACCACCTGCCCAGAGAGAGTCCAGGACAGGAACAGCAACCCCACCCCAACTCTGGGGCCCTTTGCCCCTGACCTTCTTCCCAATGTTCCCTTTCTCTCTCCCCACCCTGGCTGGACATCAATTCCAGCCCTCTCCCATTTCCAATCTCACAGGAGAAGACCCAGAATTCCAGGGCCATTCAGACCCTACAAGCTCATTAAGAACCTTGAGGTTTTTCTTCTCTGCCCCCTCCCCCCAACTCCCAGAGTAGACTATTCACACCACACCAATTGTCAACAACTACAATCCTACTAGGAGCACCAGTCCTTTTGACTTTGCCCTGCCAAACCACCCCAAGGTCCTCTGGTCCTTGCCACCCCCCGCCCCCCACTGCACCTTGGGACTTGTGGGCTTTTCCATCTATTCATTTGGTCATTCTCTCACTCAATATACCAGAAAACAAGAGAGCAATAGCTCTCACCCTTGTAAATTAGGAAGTACAAGTATTATGCCCATATTATGGATGAGGAAACAGAATTAGGGAAGCCCAAGTCTACTGTGACTTTAGTAGCTGGGGACTAGAACCCAGTCCCCTAGGCTACTTCTCGTCACTTCTTCCCACCCCAAAGACCACACAAGGGCTCACCATGATGGCAATGTAGTGCCTCCAGGGGCAGGGCAGGGGTCCGTCCACTCGCAGCAGCAGGCCCTGCATCTTCCAGAAGCTGTTGAGGTAGTCGGGGTGCAGACCCATCACCAGCATGACATTGTCTGGCCGTCCAGAGGCCAAAACCTCCAGACCCAGCTGATGCTCAAAGGCCTCTGGCCCTTGCTGCAGGATCTGCCAAGGATATGGAGGGCTTACACTCTGAGCCCTCTCTGGACCCCCACCCCTCCAAACCAGGGCCAGGCCTAGGGCCAGGGCTGACTTGGGAAAATGCCACCATTAACAATCCAGATGTAATACTGGTCAATTAGGGGATGGTCATTCATATTCCTGAAGAGTGTTTCACTTGATAAAATGAGGTGATTTTACGCTATGGATCATTAACAAATTGACAGAACTGGACCCTGCCTCCCCGCCCCCCCCAAATAGAAAACAAGGCAAAAACATTAAGAGCCATTAGGCATTGACCTTAATAAACTAAAAAGAAGGTTTCACTAATGTTAACATAGCAATGGGGCTTAGGGAGAAAGAGATCTGATTGGCAACACTCAATCTGAGTCGCTTTCCAGGATGCCCTATCAAGTAAAATGAGGAATGGATGTTCGCTACCCTCTCATCTTCCTCCCTTCAATTTAACTTCTACACTTGTCCAGTACAGAAGTCCTCTCCAGCCACTGTGGCTGGTTAGGGTCTGACACACCCTCTAAACCTCATCACTTCCTGGTCTCTAATTCTTCCCAGCCCCTAAGGATCCTCTGGGACCTGGCCTAGACAAGATGAGGAAGGAAATATGTCAGACCTGCCCAGAGCCTCCTGGAGTAACAGGATCCCCAGGCTGCTCGCTGCACTAAGAACCCATCCGAAGTACTTGGTAAGTGAGAGATATTGGAAGTCACTGAACCCTTGAACTGAATTCCTGGGCCCCAGACAGAGAAGCAAGAGATACAGTAGGACTCCCCAGTCTTTAATACCCTGCCCCTAATCAGGGCCAGGGCTGATTCAGGAAAACCTAATATTTAAAAATCCAGACTCCTAACACAAGCAAGCTAGGGCAGTGATTCATATTACAGGGAAATGTTTTACTTACCAAGTCTAGCTTGTTAAACTATGTTTATAGACCCTTAATTATTTAAAAGCTCTTCTCCTGCATCCTTTCTTTCTTTTTTGGGGGGGGGGGGGGGG